AAATATCTTTATCCCCCAAGACACCTACACCTGTCTTTATTCCCCAACACTCTCTTACCTCTTTGGGCTGTGTAAAATCCCAACCCTTCTCCTGAGCAGGGTATGATCAGATGCCTTTGGGAAAATTCTGCTCCCTCCACTCTTTACCTCTCAGATCCTTGGCTGCAGGAGGCATCTCTTAGAGGGTGGATTGAACTAGGGGTAGCTACTGGTGAGTGAGATTGCTGCCTCTGCATTTTTCATTGTGTGTGGGACAGAATGAGTCACACAGGATGAATGACAATGGAGGGGTTGTCAGCTAGATGAGAGATATCATTATATTATCTTTCCCCCCAAAGCTATCCATCTTCATAACTTCCCTATTACCATCAAGGGCACCACCATCTTTCCAGTCTCCTAGGTTTTCACAAGTTCATTGTCATTTTTAATGCCACACTTTCCTTCATCTCACTTCCACAAAATCAGTCAGCTGTGAAATCCTATTAGCTCTACCCCTCCATCTTTTATGCCTGCCTGCTTCTCTCAGCCCCCACCCTAGTTAGTGTCCCTTTCCCAAGTTTCTTCACCACTGTAATCCAGCCTCTACACACTGCTACCAAAGTGATTTTACAAAAGTATAGATCGAACCCATACTTTTTTTTTTCAATCTGACCCATTCTTAGCCCAGTGCCTGTCACATAGTAAGTCTTGAACTCAATCAACTTCAATGGTTCCCTCTTAACTCTAATATCTAAACATTTCATCTTCATCTTATCCTTTTAAATTACTGTTTTGGTTTTAAAATGTATGTAACTATTAATATAATATAACAAGTATATAATTTAGACATAGTAAGTTTATACACATTAGGGTATGTGTGCTAAAAATGTTTTTATTGATAGGAGTTTATAAGCAAATAGTTTGCAGATCACAGATCTAGATTATGCCTCAAATCACCCCAAAATGCAAAATCTCTCTTCAACTCATAAAGCCATCCTTTCTCATGAACTAGCTTCACCACCTCAGTCAAGTCCTCCCAACTCATATGATTTGACAATTCACTTTTAATGATCACATGGTTTATAAAAACAATCTGTTCATGGAGGAAACTCAAGGAAGCAACAAAGCAAAGCTTCAAGTAGCAGACTTTAGTATCTCTGAATAACTTTCCCTTTGGTCCTAACTCATCTCCTAATCTGTTTGAAGGAATGAAAAGGAAAGCAAACAGGCAGATTAAAAACCAGTTGGGGGGGGTGTGGGTCCAAGGAAGCTAGGAGAAAAGCTGTGAACTAGAATTCTGCTTGACTTTATGGCAATGGAAATGGCAATGACTGGTATGCACAAAACATTGCGTTAGGATATATACCCAGGGAATTATGTTTTAAAAATTGGACATTTATTTAATACTCATTCACAAAGGTAAATATTTTTACTAATCCAAGCAACTAAAACTTAATCAAATGATTTTTAAATTAACAACTGAAAATTATTTTTCAAATACAAACTGAAGAAGGAGATATAAAATACCAGCATAGATGAAATATTGAACCACCACCTTACTCCATACCAAGTGTCATGAAAGGCTGAGAAGTGTGTCCAATAATTGGAGATGAGCATTCCTCAAAGATGTGAAAACTTGTCTGATTTATGTTCTGATTGAAAATCCATGCTATAATCAAGATTCAATTTGGAAAAATAAACTGGTTTCTAAAATTCATTTAAATGTCTAATAAGATAAAACCATGGTTTCATCTTGAAGAATTAAAGAGTGTATATCAAAATCTTGTGAACTCAGTGACATTGTACAAAGCAAATGATTGAAACAAAGGAAGGACAGATGGCATATTAAAAATTTTTAAGATGTAAAAAGTTGTACAACTTACAGATGTAAAAAAATTATTTACTCTGTTTTAGGTGATTTGCATACCACTGCAAAACACAAAGGATCTCGCATTATGAGAGCTGGAAAGGGCCTGAGAATATAGAACATGGAATGCAATTGGTCTTAGAATGTTAGAACTAAGGTCTTTAGGAAAAAGACTATTAAGAACACAGGTCATAGAATGTCAGACTTCAGAGGACAATAAAACATAGAATGGTAGACCAACTAGCTCACATTAGAAATTTTATAATTAAAGCAGACAAGAAAAGAAGCAAGGAGAGAAAAGGAATACATATGCTCCATTTGCAGCCTGTCCTATACTTTCAGCCATTTAAAGATTAATAATGCTCTTATTCCCTGCCCTTCCCTTCCTCTCTGCCCCACCCTATCTCCTTACTCAAGGTCTCTTTAGTTTCCAGCTAGGCTGATCAGCCAACTGTTCAAAAATAGATTGGAGGAGTGGAAGCCCAATTATTTGATTAGCTCTGCAAATCCCTAGCTCCTTCCTGCCTCCACATTCATGTCTTCCCTGGCTCTGGTTTGATATCCTCAAATACTGCAGTTTTCTGGCAAATAATAGGGATTGTAGAAAGACTAGCAGATACAGAGCATTTATAAAGGACTTACTATGTTTCAGGCCCTATGCTAAGTGCTGGGGATGGAAATGTAAGGAAATTGTACAGTCTCTGCCTTCAAGGAGCTTACATCGTAGTGGGGGTAGCCAATACATAATGGGGACCTAGAAAGGGGTGAGGATGCTCAATCAGAGAAATAGTGTGGAAGTGACTAAGAAATGGAGTGGAAGTCACATTTAGGACAAGACAAAAAGAAAACTTAGGTATCAGAGCCCCAATTCCCATTGGCAGTATATTTGTGCACATGGCATCGTGTGTCTCCTCTTAATCTCTGTTTGCCCAACTCCTTCCCTCTCCATCAGGGGTTCTTAATTTAGGGTCTAGGAATCTATTTTTTTACAAAAATATTTTGATAACTATTTCAATATATTTTCCTATGTATTTTATTTTAAAACATTATTTGAGATTTCAAAACATCATTTGAGGATTCATAGACTCCATCAGATTGCCAAAGGAGTCCATGATAAATTTTTTTTAAAGGTTAACTCCTGCTTTACTTTTTCCCTCTAAAGGTGGCCTGTCCTTTGTGAATCTATCCCCAAAACCTGAGGCTTAGGTGAGTCACAGCCATTGCCTATCTTGCATTATCCTAGGACAATTGGCTTGGCATCAAAGTGCTGGAGTTGGAATGAATGAAAAGCAATTGAAGAATGCCTCAGAAAACCTTCAAAAACCTTGAAGCCACATCAATTGATGCAGTGCAATTTTTTTTATCCATAAAGGCAAAGAAACTAGAGATAAGAGGATGAAAAATATTACTGCAAAATAAAGTTATAGTATCTGCTTGTAATTGTTTGTATTTTAAGCACATTTGCCCAGATAGGAAAAATAAAAGATTTATTATCAAGGATATTTCCTTGCCAATTGATGAGCTTGGTTCTTCTAGTGTTAAGTACTTGCAATGTGCCAGACACTGTGCTAAGTGCTGAGGATACAAAAAACAAAGACAGTTCCTGAAACTTGTGGGGATGATTAATGGGGAAGATTATATAGAGAGGGAAAAATTTCTTTTTCTGGTGGGAGTTAATTTATGGCTTGTTCAATTTCTCTTTTTATGATTAGGTTATTCAGATTTTTGATTTCCAATTTTGCTAGTTTTGGTATTCTATATTTTGGTAGCTATTCATCCATTTCATTCAGGCTTTCAGCTATATTGTCCTATACTTTGACAAAATAGCTTCTGATATTTTTTATTTTTTATTTTCCATTTGTGATTTTTTTTCATTTTTGATTTTTAAAAGTATGGTCTCTTTTTATCAGTCCTTAAAAGGTCTTTTTAATTCTTGTATTAGTTTAATTCTTCCCTCTTCCCCCCAAAGATAGTTCCTGCTCTGACCCCACCCACCAACTCCCAGTTCAAGCAATCTGGTCCAATACAGCTTCTTTTCTATCTTTCATGAGGTCTTATCCCTCAGTGTGTTATAGCATTATGACAGAAGCAATTGTGGTTAAATGCTTCCAGATGCTCTTTCTTCTCTCTTATTCTGACTCCCTTTTTCCTCCTTTGCTCATGTCTAAACATCCTGAGCTGTAGAAGCCCCAGAGATTCATTAACCAGTGAAGCAAGCTAGCAAATAAGCAAGTGATCACTTAACGTTTATTAAAAGTGTTTATGAATGCCAAAGACTGCCTCAAGGCTGTTGCATTCTAAGGTCAGAGGGAAAATATAAACAGACAGGTATGTATAAAGCAGATACAATGTCAGATGGGAAGACACGAGGAACTAGGGAGATTGGAAATACCTCCTGCAGAAGATGGCACTAAAACTAGGCAAAATAATAATAATAAATAATAATAATGAAAATGATAATATTATTTTAAGTATAAAGCACATTGACATATATATTATTATCGTTTTAAGAATAAATCACTTTGACATACTTCCCATATTTTGACTTATGTTTTGGGATGATGAGTAGGTAGGAAACTGAGCCCAGAGCTAGAAAGGGATTATGTCACATGACGGCAGAATATCAAAGCTAAAAGGAGTCTTAAAGCACCATATACAGAATCTCAGAGCTGGAATAGAAAACAGAATCCAAGAGGTGGAAGGGGCCTTAAAACACAGAATATAGAACGTCAGAGAACTTAGAAGAGAGGATATAGTTCTAAATATGTGAAATCTTTAATCGTCAAATGTAAATTCAGTCGTTACCACATTGTCATGATGGAACCTGATGGAGGCAGCAAAGGATACTGGGCTCCTCAGAATGCATTCTGATATAATGCATGTTTACTCCCAAAGGGCCTAGCTCTCTGGAAATGGAGTTCCTGAGACACATTCCTTTTTTCTAGACATATTGTGGTTATCAGTGGGGTGCTGATATTTTTATAGCAAGAGCATCAACACATTAAGAGAACTACCTTGTCACAGTAAGGACTCAAGATCATGAGTTTATGGACTTTATTTTGTCTTCCAGGAAGGGAAGAGTGATCATTTATACAAAATCTTCCGAGGCTGAGCCAGGGGACTGGAGCTACTGATATCCAAGCAATAACAGCAGCTCAGGGTCTCTGGGCTGGGCAGCCAGGAAAGCTGAGGGAAAGGAGTGGCCTGGTCTGTTGAGGAGCTGAGATCAGCATCCTAGGAAGAAAGGCAAAAGCCATTAGTCAGATACATTGTCTAGAGATGAAACAAAACCAATATTAATACCAACAATTTTGTCATACTGATTTAAATGATAAAAATTAATTATTGTTTAGGCAATTTAAATGAGTTATTCAATTAGTTGACAAATAAATTGTAATAACTAGCTAATACAGATGAATCACTACTTAATCAAAACTAAAAATGAATCAAGGTTTTTGTAAAACATTAATTGATTTTTATAACATCAATTATCCATCAATAAAAATTAACTGTTAAATTATACTAGATGGTAATAAGATCACAAAATATATAAAGTGTCATACAGGGTGTAAGAATATTCCAACATGTTACCAACTAAGAAGAGCTAGACATCATACTTTTTATGCTGGAATTCTTCTAGGACATATCTGATGTCCTAGGGGCAGCTAGCTAACTAGCACTGGGCCTTGGGTCAAGAAGACTTATCTTCCTGAGTTCAAATCCTGTCTCAGACACTACATATGTGCACCTGGGAAAGTCACTGTTTACCTCAGTTTCCTTATCTGTAAAATGAATTGGAGAAGGAAATGGCAAACCACTCCAGTATCTTTGCCAAGAAAATCCGAAATGGAGTCATGTAGAGTCACACATAACTGAAATGACTGAACAACATAGATCTTTACCTTTATCTCTACTGAATGTCAATTTACCTAATGCTTTATATATCCATTCAAGATCCTTTAGAGTTCTGACTGTGATACAGTATGTTAGCCATCCCTTCCAGATTTGAGTCATTTGAAAATTTTATGAGCATTTTGTGTATACCTTTATCTAAGTCAGTTGAGTCATGGTTAGAGTGGCAATGGTTAGGGCTCTGGTCCCTCATTTAGCTGCATCTCCTTATTTATTCTTTGGAAGGCTTCATTACTGATCTACTTTGTGATTATAGGCAAAGCCTTTCTCCACTCTGTGGACAATTTTCCTTCTTGATAAAACTCAATAGTGCCCAAGTTTTGATATCTCAGATGGATCCCCAGGTTCTTAGACACCACTTTTAGGTCCATGATTCATTAGCCAGAGCACTTAAGGGAAGGTGGGCCTCCAGCTCATGTCATCTTTAGGCCACCATTTAGAGGAAATATATTTTTCCTCCTTAAAGGAAGAAGATGATAATCAACTTTTGGTTTTGGTTGGCCTTAGGAAGGTCTTATTGCCCAAAACAGCTTCCCCCGAAATTGCTTTGTGCCTGAAGATTTACAATTAGACCTTCAGTCCTTTGGGTTAGGTTTCTGTTAAATTGGAATTACCAGGGTTCCCAGGAAACCTCGGGCCTTCATTACTTCCTGCCTAGATTACTGCAATAGTTTCTTAACAGGTCTCTCTGCCTTTAATCCCTTGAATTGGTCCCTTGGATCTCTCTTGCCCATCTCTGAGCATATCCCTCTATGTCTCAGAAACCTTTACTCCAGGGATTCTTTACATTTTTTGGTGGAAGTCTGATAAGGCCTATGGATCCCTTCTCTGAATTATGTTTTTAAATATGTAAAATATACAAAATTATAAAGGAAACCAGTTAAACTAAAATATATTTATCAAAATATATTTTTAAAAGTTCAATGATTTCAAATTAAGCCTCCCTGCTATAGTGGCTCACTGCTGCCCAAAGACTGCAGCTAGAGGGAGCAGTGCATAGCGTGCAGGGCCAGGAGTCAGGAAAACTCATCTTCCTGAGTTCAAATCCCATCTCAGACACTTACTGAGTGCCCTGGGCAAGTTATTGTTTTCCTCAGTTTCCTCATATACAAAATGAGCCAGAGAAAGAAGTGGCAAAACACTCCAATATCTTTGCCAAGAAAACTCCAAATTGGATCACAAAGAGTCAGATACAACTAAACAATAATGACAACAATAACAACAACAACTGCTCAGAAGACAAAGGCCAATCTCCTTATTCTGGTTTTCAAAACCTTTTTCAAGCTACTCCTAAATGCTTTTTCAGTCTCATCACCCTTTGCTCTTCACATTCCTGATACCTCAACCAAATTGATTTGCTCACTTTTGTATTTTTTTCTGCTGGGAACCATCTATCCATATGTATTGATATTCTTGCCAACTTTCAAGACCTAAGTTAAATGCCAACTACAGATGCCTTTCCCTGATTCCTTACAATTAGAAATTACCTCCTCTCATCAGACCTTAAATAGCACATTGTTTTCTTATGAACTTACCATGCATGTTCTGTTTCACGTAATGTTTGTGTGCCCACATCTTTTCCCACTACTAGATTGTGAGCTTCTGTGAGTCAAGACCAGCCTCTTATTTATCTTAGTCTTTCTCACAGGACCAAGCATCAGGCTTTTTAGTAGATGTAAATAAATGTATAGAAGATTTCTGTTCAATTAGGCTTTGGACTAGATTACCTCTAAGTTTACTTCTAGATTCTCTGTTGTCTCATTGCTTTTATATCTAACATCCTCTGTTCTCTGTCCTAAGCTTCCTTCTAGGTAAAATAAAATTTTAAAATCTACCATTTTCTGTAGTAGAAGTCCTTTCTAGCTCTACATTATGAAGTTCTTTCCAACATGAACATTCCATGTTGTAAGGCTTTTTCCAAGTCTGATATTCTTCATCCTATGTTCTAAGTTTTTTTTTTTTTCCAGGTCTGAGAATCAGCAAGCATCACCTCCACTAAGTGTCTGCCCAGGTGTATCTAAAGAGAGCTTGAGAGGGTGTTTTCACATGATGAATCTCAGCCTTAGACCTGGATGTGATTCAACAGAAGTACAAGTAGGACATGTTTGGGCAATCAAGTTAATTGGGGACTGCACCTGCTTAGTTGAGATTATGTTGTCTCCTCCTTACTTTGGAGAGATTTGTGGGTTGGGACAGAAAGAAGTCTGCAGAATTTTTTCTTCTTGAGAAGGGATGAAAGGAAGTTTGGTCTATTGCTTCATGGAATTCTTAGAGTTGGAAATACAAAGGTCGTTTAGAAAATTAGTAGGTATTATGTATTTTGCTGTTGTTAAGTAATTTTTTCAGTAATCTTCTTCAGTCTTTCTCTGCAACCCCATCTGAGGTTTTCTTGGCAGAGATACTGAAGCAGTTTGCCATTTCCTTCTCCAGGTCATTTTTTTTTATCATATGAAGAACTGAAACAGGGTTAAGTGACTTGTCCAAGGTCATACATTTAGTAAGTATCTGAGGCCAGATTTATTGAACTTACAAAGCTGAGTTTTCCTGACTTCAGGCCCAGCATTCTATCCACTGTGCCACCTAGCTGCCACCAGATATTCTGCATACAATATGCATAACAAGTGGCATCTAGTCTTTACTCAAATGTTTTTTAGCGATGTCGAGTCACTGTCTCACAAGACAACCCATTCCACTTTCATAGGGCTCTGTTTGTTGGGAAGTATTTCCTTTTAATAAGTTGAAATCTGCCACCATGTAAATTCCAGTCACTGCTTTGGGGACCAATCTATTTTCACCATTTTAGTTCTTCGAGCCAGTATCATGTCTTTTATCCCCTTCTTTTCCCAGTATTTTCTTCTCAAGGAGAAACATTCCAAATTTCTTCAGATGATCCTTTCATGATATGGTTCCCAATCTTCAGAATATCCAGATTTCTTTTCTCTAAAACTCTCTAACTTGTCATTGTACTTCCTAAGGTTTGTTACCCATAGGGCATGGGACAGTGGGACTATCAACTCTATTAATGTGGTCTGCAATGAAATTAACTTTGTTTTTGGCTGCCAGGCTACTCTTATGACACACATAGTACTTGAAGCCTACTAAGACCACTAGTAATAAGTCCACTAAGGTCTTTGCAGGAGCTTCTGCCAAGTTATGCCTCCCTCATCCTGTATTGACATGGGTAACTTTTTTGAACCTAAGTACCAAATTTAACATTTGCCTCTAACTTCATTTTAGTAGATATAGCCCATCCTTCTAGAGTTATCTGGGTTCAAATCCTGCCTCTGGCAGGACTTAGTTGAGTGATCATGGGCAAGTTGCTTAACCTGTCTGACTTTCAGTTTCCTCTTCTGCAAAACAGGGATAGCAATAGCTATAGCACCTGCTTCACAGGATTGTTGTGTATCTCAAATGAGATTATGCGTGTCAAAAAGTTTTCTAAAACCTAAATCACTATAGCAGTCACTTGTTATTATTATTGTTATTATTTAATTATCACATTTTCATCTTTATATTTGATAGAACAGGTCACTATCCTCCTCTTCTTTTGTGTGTGATGTTTTGTGACCTATTATTGCCCAGATTGATGAAGGGATTGGTTTTTCTAATTGAATTCAAGTTTCTGTGGGTCAGTGTTAGATCTTGGCAATTATGGGCAATGGTGTTATTTATGATAATGCTCTGGTTGCAATGGAGATTATTTGTTGAATTCTAAAAAAAATATTTTGATGCTTGTATTTTCAATTTGGCAATTTTGACTATGAATTCATGAAGAATAATGAGCCTGTTGTATATAGTTCATGTCATTTGAATATGTCTTTCTAGATATTCAACAGGTACTGCTTACAGTGCTTATGTTGCACAGTTTCTGCTATTTCTTTGAAAAGTTGCATTTCAAACTGGATGTCCCATAGTCATTTCAAACAAAGTATGTTCAAAACAGAATCTTATCTTCTCCCTAAATCCACTCTTCTAAACTTCCCTACTCCTGTCAAGGATGCCACTCTTGGTTCTCAACCTTCATGTTATCTTTACCTCTAGGTCTCACACACCCCACATATCCAATCAGTTGCCAAATCTTCTGAATATCTCTTGAAACTATCCCCTGCTCTTTACTCATGCAGACATCATCTTAGTTCTGAACCTCATCACCTCTTGCCCAGACTTTTGCAAAAGCATCCCTGATTCAAACTTCTTCTCACTCCTATGAATCTATTCTCCATGAAGCTGTCAAGGTGATTGGAGTGATCTTTTGGAATTTTTGTCTTTTTGTCTTTGTTTTTGTCTTTATTTGTCTTTTTGTCTACAATTGTTCAGATCATTTTGTCTAGCACTCCAGCTAAGTACAATAGATTTTGAAGAGAAGGGCCTCTCTGGAGACATTTTCCTTCACCTATTATTCCTCCCTGCCAATTAACTGAGTGAAGGAACTTGAGATGACTCATTTAAAACAGTTCTTAGGTCAGGATCGTGGTGGAGACTACCACAATTTCTGTCATTTCTAAGATGCAAGAGAGTTCCTAGACTGTAGGTTTGTGTTTATCTGTCTACTAGGGAGAGAGTCTTGAAGTCAACTCAAGGAAGTAGGAGCACATGTTTCAGGGAAGTCAGATTTTGGACATTAGGAAGTACTTCCTCATAATTACAGTCCCAAAATAAGTAGTAGTGAATTCTCCTTAACTGAAGGTCTTCAAGTAAGGATTGGATTAGATCCTACCTGAGATTCCTTTGATCTTTGATATTTTATGAAATCACTCTAAAGTGGTTTCTTTTTCTTAAAGGTTATTATTAGCCTCCAAAATCTGGTGGAATCCAGCCTCATTTTTTTAACCTTATAATTTAAGTTCTTTGAAGTCTAGAAAATGCTTTACCATTAATTTTCTTATTTGATCCACACAACAAACCTGTGAAGGAGGCAGTGATTATTCTTTACCATTTAATAGAAGAGAAAACTGAGCTTCAGAGAGGGCAAGTGATTTGTTCTTGGTTATACAAGTAGCAAATAGAAAAGCTTGGGCTGAAATCCAATAACCTCGACTCTAATTCAATCACTGTGCTGTTACAATGATTACTCGTATTAAGCTATAAATATCACCTATCAAGTAGAGAATCATACCTGTAATTCCAACTATTAGGGAGACTGAGGCTGATATTTCTCTTGAGCTTGAATTCTGAGCTACAGTGGACTATACCAAGTGGACTAAGTTTGACATCAATATGGTCAGCCCCCTGGAGTTGGGGGTGGGTGGGACCAGGCTACCCAAGGAAAAGCAAACCAGAGGACATAGAACAAGCTCCTGTTTGGATCAGTAGTGGAATTAGGCCCATGAGTTACCCCTGTGTCTTTAAAACATAAGAATAAATAAAATCAACTTTAACTCACCAGTTCTTTTTATGAAGCCTTTTCTGGTTTATCTTCCATATCAGAGAATCCACTTGAAAGAAAAGAAAGATATGTAGATTGAGTTTGTTTGAAGTAGAGTAAGGAGAATGAAAAAGATTGGCTTCAAAGACATTTTATACTCAATATACCAAGGGGGAATATTTTGGCTTTAAGTGTCTGTGTCAGGTATTCTGACAATCTGTTTTTTATCTTCTATCGTGCATTCAATAATAATAATTAACATTGATATCACATCTAGTATACATCAGGTACTGTGCTAAGAAGTTTTCAATTATTATCTCATGTGATCCTCACAACAACCCTGGAAGGATTTACGGTTGAGGAAACTGAGGAAAATGGAGCTTAAGTCACTTGCCTAAGATCACACAGCTAGTAAGTGTCTGAGGCTGGATTTGAATTCAAGTGTTCCTGAACCCTGGAGTTCTGTCTACTGCACTACCTAGTTGTCTCCATTTTGGAAAGAGGGTGGCATAGTAGAAAGAACTCTTGATTTGGAGGCAGATATCATGAATGGTAGTACCAATGCTGTTTCTTAATATCTGTGTGACCTTGGACAAGTTCTTTAACTTCTTGGAATACGGCACTTTAGAATACTCCATATTCTAAAGACTTTACTAGACCTAGCATTTCATATTCAATGATTTTAATTAGATCATTCTGAGCATCTATAAATATATAGGGTTGGGCTCAGCAACATACTGGTAAATGTTTAACAGCCACCTTTCAAAAAAAAAGTATGCATGACACACACAATTTTATTCTGCTGTTATTAATGTTTTATCCCTTTCTTCTTAAGTCTAGACAATCAACAAAACAATAAGTCAAACTCTGATTTGCAGTATTTATGAATTTCTTATACATAAATTCTCATGCTGAAAATTTAACAATCAACTCAGAGGGTCAGCATAAGTTGACTCCAGTATACCCCTAGGACATGGGTTGTATGCTCTGAAAGCAGGTGACTGAGTTATTTCTGTACTTTCCTCAAATCCCAGTTGAGGATATTGGGCAAAGTCAACTTATCTGTTTACTTGACAAATTCCTGCTCCTTATTCCATGTTATTTCCACTTGACGAGCCCAAGAAACCTGGGCTCTTAGTCCTGACTGTCATTAACTTTCCCCAGCCTGCTCCCCACATATATGAAGGCTGTGGCTTCCTCTCTGTTCCAACTCTAGCATTACCCATATCAAGGCACTAAGTTCCTGATGCGGGTCCCTTGAGGTAAGTAGAAGTGTCCCATGCAAAGCACCTCAAGGTTGTAGGTTGTCCTAAAGGCAATGCTGTGATCTCAATCCCATCTAGGAATGATCTCAGTCTAAAAGGATGGAAAATGGAGTCCACAGTAAAAGGAAATATCACTGTTTTCATGCTGATTCATTCTGTCAATCCTTCTCAGGGTGTATAAATGGAGACTAAGAGAGAGATGATGGTGCAGGTAGGCTCATTACTTACGATCTCCGGGCCATTGAGGAAAGAACATATTCCACTGCAGACTCAAGGATTCCAGTGCCCAGGGAATTTAAAAATGATGGGAGTTCTGTATTTTGTTTTGGATCAGAGACTGTTGGCTTATCAACTGAAACCAAGAGCAGTGACTCAGTCATTTCTTTAATATGGTGGGGGTGGGGGGATGGTGAATGGCAACAATATTTTACTGAAGCATTAGCTTATTCTCTCTAAGTGGAACTTGGGCAGCATCACTATCTGTTACATAGTTTTTATTCACTGAATGTTACAGTTATAAGGAACATCAGAACAAGGTATATAGAATGTCAGTATTTGAATGGGTCTTTGAAAAGAGAATAGGGATTATTGGAGTCAGAAAAGAGTTCCATGCACAGAATGTTCAATATAAATGTCAGAAATGAAAGGAAACCTAGAACACAGAACTTCAAATATTAAATTTAATTCACCAAAAACCAAAAACACAGTGTCTAGTCTGAGTAAGGCACTATGCCAGATTCTGAAGATATAAAGAAAAAAAGTCCATTCCCTCAAGGATTTTATATTTTATTGGATGTCGGAGCTAGAAGGTACCTTAGAATACGTTTTTATTTATTTATATTTATGAGGCAGTTGGGGTTAAGTGACTTGCCCAAAGTCACACAGCTAGTGAGTGTTATGTGTCTGAGGCTGGATTTGAACTCAAGTCCTCCTGACTCCAGGGCCAGTGCTCTATCCACTGCACCACCTAGCTGCCCCAGGTTCCTTGGAATATGGAAGAAAGCATGTCAGAACTAAACATATCCTTAGAATATAGACAACAGATGTCATTCCCCTACATAGAATACAAGATATTATAGCTAGGTTGAAACTTAGAACAGAATATGGAGATTGTTCAAAATCATGTATTCTAATGCTCTCATGTTATGGAGGAATAAATTGAGACCCAGAGAAGTTAAGTGACTTATGCAAGGTTACGTGATCAATCTACAGACAGGTTCTCCTGACTCTTAGCCTAGTGGTTTTGCCCTACACCAGGTGGTATATTCCATTATATTCCATTGCATTGAGTATTCTTTGCTAACTAGATAGCTGTGCTTCAATCCTGGGTAAATGCCTTATGCTCACTGGCTCATTGGGTCTGGATTTCCCCTTCTGTAAAATGAAAGGTTTGAACTAGATAATCTCTAAGATCCCTTTAAGCTATGTCCTTCTATAATTGCTTATTAACTGTAATGTCTATTTATCCTCTCACACCAAAAACACTCACCAGCATGACAGGGAAGAATCAAAGTAAGTAGTCCCACGGCCATCATCATCTGAAGGACTGAGGAAGCCATTCTTGTTGGTTGGGTATAGTCTCTGGTGAGTTGTTAAGGTTCACATGGACTCTCACTCAATTTATACTATAGACAGAATGATGTCACTCACATACAATGTAATTAATTAAGCTGTTAGGCAAGCCAGAGCTGCATTCCAGGTGATTCTTGACAGGTAGCCTGGAGTAGTAAAAAGAACCCTGAACCAGAAGTCAAGAGAGATGGGTCCTCCCTTATTCTTAGCTTTCCTGCTAACTTACTATGTTACCCTGAGGAAGTCATTCCCACTATCTGAGCCTTAGTTTACTTATCTGTCATAAAATTATATTTTTAGAGTTAGAAGTTGTCTTAAGGCCAATGAGAAAAATTAGATCCACCTCTTCACTTTATGAATGAAGAAACCGAGAACAAGTGAGGTTATAAGGGAATTGCCCAGGATGTCACAGCTAGGAAGCATCTGAGGTAGGGTTTGTACCTAGGTCTTCCTGACTACAGGTCCAGCACATTATTCATTTTGAGGTGTTCTCTAAGGACTCTTCATCACTAACTTTATATGTTCTTTCCCCTAACATTCTGTGTTTTATAGTCTGAGATACTTTCCAGTTCTGACCTTCTCTTGGTCTATGTTTAAAGTATTGCATATCTCTGATATTCTTCAGTTCTATGTTCTAACTAGTTCTAACCTTCTGTATTTTGTGTTTTAAGTTTCTATATTCAAAAGTGCCTCTTACCAGAGTTCTGATATTATATATTCAGTTTAATTTAATTTAATTCAATGATTATTTATTGGGAACTTATTACATTCAAAGCACCATATCAGGCCCTTGGGGAAGAAACAATGACAAAAAGTAGGAGTTGTGGCCTTCAATAAATTTACATTTGGGACAGAGCCAAGATGGCAGAGAGAAGCCAGGAAGTTGCCTGAGCTCTCCTCCCTTGGAAACAATGTTAAATCAAGCTTTTAAAAGAATTGTGGAGCAACAGAATCCGCAAAAGACAGAGTGAAACATTTTCTAGCACAAGATAACTTAGAAGGACTTCAGGAAAGATGTCTCATTAGGTAGAAGGGAGTGCAGCCCAGTGCAGGCAGTGTCTGGGCAAGCCAACAGGAGGCTCTTAGCCACAGCAAAGATCAGCAACTGAGGCCCCAAACCCATAGTTTTGGCTCAGCAGGCTAGTGGCACAGCAAGCCAGCTTTGAGGCTTCCAGCCCTAGTGCAGCAGGCAAGCTGCCAGCCCCACAATCTGGGGCACAACAGGTGTGACTAGGCTGGGCATCCCCAGTGTAGTGGGCAAGCTGCCAGCCCCAGGGGCCCTGGTGCAGAAAGTCAGTGACCAGGCCCCTGGTACGCAGCACAAGAAGCTTGGAACAGTGCCCCACTGTGCTCTAGGAGACAAGCTCAATTTAAAAAAATGACCAAAAACCAAAAAAAGAGCCCTGACCATAATTAAGCTATTATGGCCACAGGGAAGAGCAAAACACAAACTCAGAAGAGGAAAACAACATCAAAATGCCTACATGTGAAGCCTCAAAGGGGAATATGAATTGGTCTCAAGCACAAAAAGTCCTCTTAGAAGGGCTCAAAAAAGATTTTAAAAATCAAGTGAGAGAGGTAGAAGAAAAACTGGAAAAAGAAATGAGAGTTATGCAAGATAATTATGAAGAAAAAGAGTTAACTCAGAAAAGGAAGCACAAAAGTTGACTAAAGAAATCAACTCCTTAAAACATAGAATTGCCCCAATGGAGAAGAAAAATCCACTGAAGAAAAGAGTTCCTTTAAAAGTAGAATTGGCCAAATGGGAAAGGAGGTACAAAAGCTAACTGAAGAAAATAATTTCTTAAAAATTAGAATTAGGCAAGTGATTAGACTAATGACTCTATGAGACATCAAGAATCGGTCAAAAGAAATCAAAAGAAGGAAAAACTAGAAGAAAATGTAAAAATCCTCATTGGAAAAATAACTGACCTTGAAAATAGATCCAGGAGAGGTAATTTAAGAATTATTGGACTACCTGAAAACCATGATCAAAAAAGATCCTGGACAGCATCTTTTAAGAAATTATGAAGGAAAAGTGCTCTGATATCCTAGAAGCAGAGGGTAAAATACTCGCTGAGAGAATCTACCAATCATTTCTTGAAAGAGATAACAAAATTAAAACTCCAAGAAATATTGTAACCCAATTCTAGAACTATCAGGTCAAGGAGAAAATATTGCAAGATGCCAGAAAGAAACAATTCAAATACCAAGGGGCCACTGTCAGGATTACACAGGACTTAGCAGCTTCTACATTAAAGGATTGGAGGGCTTGGAATATGATATTCCAGAAGGCAGAAGAGTTCAGATTACAACCAAGAATCAACTACCTAGAAAAACTGAGCACAATCTTTCTCTGGAAAAAATAAATATTCAATGAAATAGGGCACTTTCAGACTTTCCTGATGAAAAGACCAGAGCTTAACAGAAAATTTAATTTTCAAATACAAGACTCAAGAGAAGCACAGAAAGGTAAACAGGAAAGGAAAAAAAAACACAATAAATGATACTTAATAAGGTTAAACTCTTTACATCCCTACACAAGAAAATGATACTTATAACTCTTGAGAAGTATATCTTTATTAGAGCAGTTAGAAGGGGTATACATAAACAGAGGGTGTGAGTATAAGTTGACTTTGATGTGATGATATAAAAAAATTAAAAGGTAAATAAAGGATTGTACTGAGAGAAGAGAAAAGGGGGAGGCAGAACAGGGTAAATTACATCCCATGGAGAGGTATGAAAGACCTATTACAGTAGAGGGAAAGGGGGGGGCATGAGCATTGTGTTAACCTACTCAGCTAGGTATAGAAATCTTTCTTACCCTACAGGGAAGTAGGAGGAGGAAGGGGAAAAAAAAGAAAGAGGGGGCACTGACAGAAAGGAAGGCAGATTGAGGAAGGTGGTGGTCAGAAGCAAAACACTGTGAGGAGGGAAAGGGTGAAAAGAGAAAAAGTATCAACAGGGGGAAAATAGGATGAAGAGAAAGACACAGTTAGTAATCATAACTGCAAATGTGAATGGGATGAACTCTCCCATAAACTGGAAGCAGACAGCAAAGTGGATTAAAAATCATAATTCTACAATATGTTGTTTATGAGAAACACATTTGAAGCAGAAAAAAACACACATAGCAAAGGTAAGTGGCTCAAGCAGAATGTAATATGTGTCAGCTGAAGTAAAGAAAAAAAAGCAGAGGTTGCAATCCTGACCTCAGACAAAGCAAAAGCAAAAGCAAAAAAAGATCTAATTAAAAGAGACAAGGAAGGAAACTACATCTTGCTAAAAAGTACCATAGATAATAAAATAATATCAAATCTTAGAATCCAAAATTCTTAGGAGTTAAGTGAGCTGCAGAAAGAAACAGAGAACAAAATTATACTAGTGGGGGACCTCAACCTCTTCCTCTCAGAACTACATAAATCTAACCCAAAAATAAACAAGAAAGAAGTTAAGGAAGTGAATAGATTTTTAGAAAAGTTAGATATGCTAGACCTCTGGAGGGAATTGAATGGGGACAGAAAGGAGTATACCTTTTCCTCAGTGGTAAATTGTACTTATACAAAAATTGACTATGCATTAGGTCATAAAAACTTCACAATCAAATACAGAAAGGCAGAAATATTAAATTCATCCTTTTCAGATCATGAAGCAATAAAAATTATGTATAATAAAGGGTCATGGAAAGATAGCTAAAAATTAATTAGAAACTTACAAATTGAATTCTAAAGAATGAGTTAGTCGAACAACAAATCATAGAAACAATCAATAATTTCCTTCAAGAGAATGACAATAATGAGACAACATAGCAAAATTTATGGCATACAGCCAAAGAAATACTTAGGGGAAATTTATGTCTCTAAAGGTTTACATGAATAACATAGAGAAAGAGCAGATCAGTGAATTGGGCATGCAATTAATAAAGCTAGAAAAATTAAAAATCCCCAATTAAATACCAAGTTAGAAATTCTGAAAATAAAGGAGAGGTTAATAAAATTGAAAGTAAGGAAACTTCAGCTAATAATAAAATTAGGAGCTCATTTTGTGAAAAATAAAATAAAATAGGTAAACCTTTGGTTAATTTGATTTAAAAAAAAGAAGAAAATCAAATTACCAATATCAACAATGAAAAGGAAATTAAGACAATAATTAGAAGCTATTTTGCCCAACTGTATGCCAATAAATTTGACAAGTTTAGTGAAATGGATGAATATTTACTATATATATATATATATATATATATATGTATATATATATATGTATATATATATATATATATATATATGTATATGTATATACATTGCCCAAATTAACAGAAGAGAAAATAAAATACTTAAATAACCCCAATCTGAAAAAGAAATTGAACAATCCATCAATGAACTCTCTAAGAAAAAATCTCCAGGACCAGATGGATTTACAAGTGAATTCTACCAAACACTTAAAGAACAATTAACTCCAGTGGTATTTGGAAAAATAAGCAAAGGAGGAGTTTGACCAAATTCCTTTCATGACACAAATATGGTCTGATATCTAAACCAGAAAGAGCCAAAAAAAGGAAGAAAGTTCTAGAGTGATTTCCCTAATGAATATCGATGAAAATTTTTTAAACAAAATACTAGTGAAGAGATTACAGCAATTTATCACAAGGATAATACACAATGACCATGTGAAATTTATACCAGGAATGCAGGGCAGATTCAAAAATAGGAAAACTATTAGTATAATTGACCACATCAATAACAAAAGTAATAGAAATCATATGATTACCTCAATAGATGCAGAAAAAGTTTTGACAAAAATACCCATTCCTATTAAAAATATTAGAGAAAATAAGAATAAATGGAGGTTTCCTCAAGATGTTAAGTAGCATCTGTCTAAAACCATCAGCAAGCTATATATGTAATGGGGATAAGGTAATGGGCAATAAGATCAGGGGTGGAATAAGGATGCCCATCATCACCACTATTATTCGATATTGTACTATATTGTATTACAACATTGTAATAGACTGGTACCAATTTAGGATTTTTG